ATGATTTACCACCCGTATTTATTTCTGATTGGACTTATTTGCCAAATTGCATTTGTGTCCCCAATTGATGAGATCAAAGCGGATGACGGTAAGGATACCTTTTTGTATTTTTAAGAAATATAACTTAGATTTCATAATTTAGTAAATAAAAATAATTGTTTCTTTCAAAGCTTTTGATGAAAACCATATTTGTATTTTTTTAATTTACAAATAGGGCATACATTAATTAATAAAAAGCATTTTAATTTTACTATTTAGTCAACTGCGTACTTATTACATTATTACTTGCGAATTAATTTAATTTTATAATAAAATATGATATTTCTAGTTTAAATTAATATGTAATGAGTTCAGGGATTGAAATATGAGGAAAATTTACAATAAAAACGCATTTAAAATATTAACCCTAGGCTAGAGATTTAGTTTTTGATTTGCGGTTTAGTTTCACGAGAATCAGTACTCAGTGTACCTGAGTTGCGGGTCATTGTGTTATCTTAGGGAAATAAATGCCTATGCATGCTCGTTGGTAGGTACCAACGAGCCTCACTGGGGGTAATGTCAGACTAGCACCGGCAAAATCCCTTGGTATTTCACTTTCACCGCATAAAAAAAGCATAGCTAGAAATAACACTTTCGCACACACCCGTCGTCGATTAGTACCAACCGCCCTTTGATGGCTCCTCCTGGGAGAGGATAGCCCCTATTCTTCCTTCTTTTTCTTAAAAATCTAAGTAGTCTAGATTATAATTGATATTTATTTTGAAATATTATAATATTGTTGCATATCATCTGTTTATTTATTTATTCATACAGTAGAAATTAATAACACGATAACTAAGATTGTATCTAAACTGAAACAATTTAGATTAACGTGATACTCATAAGGTAATTTACATAGCGAGATAAAATATAAGGTCGGAGAAAAAGTTTCTTCGTATTTTGTATACAATTTCAAGACTTTTTTTTTTCAAAGTTTAATTGCATTTAATTATAATATATACGTGCCATTTTGTAGGTAGTGGACATAATCCCGTTGCTGTAGAAATCTTGGCATTTTTGATCAAAAAAATCCGGCAAGTATTTTTGACAGTCGTCTTTTGACGTTAGCCTAACATTACCCAAAGAATTCTGAAGAGACCGAAACAGGTGAAATCTGAGAGTGCAAGGTCAGGACCTATATGTTGGATGCATTAAAACTTCCCAACCAAGTTCTCTCAATTTTGCGGTGAACTAAGAAGAACCTACATGACTGGCCCGAGATGTAGCGCCGGCCCGAGGTGGCCACTCCGAGTGGGCTTGGCGAGCCCACTTCGCATGTGTGTTGGTGAGCTGCGGCGAAACGGGTGCCCTCTCCCGCCACCGCTGCAGCTGAGGTTGGGTCGTGGAGGAAAAGGAGTGTTGGTATGGCGATGCGCTACTCACCCTATCCTCCGCGACTGTTACGGGGCCGCACCGTTGATTGATGCGGTGATGGTAGGGCTGTGGGGAGAGAGTAGTGTCGGTATTGCGAGGCGCCGCTCTCCCTACCCTCCGCAACCGAATCTTGGTTGGTAGCGGAGCTATAGACCAGATCCGCCGCTGGGATCAGTCAGGCTAGTGCTTCTGAGTGCTCGATTTCCTGGCTCCATGGCCTCCACTCATCGGACACGGGGGCGTCTGTTGTGCAGGTGAAGCAGGAGGTCGCGGTGGAGGGTGCGCCATGTGTTCTGGTACGCCTTACCTGTGAAGGAGATGAGGGATGAGTAGTCCTCTCTCGAGGACGGGCCACCATGAGCTGACCAGCGCTGGTGGGGCCACGGATGTGTGCGAGAGCGTTCCCGTGGCCCTGCCAATATGCGACGAAGGTGGAACACCATGGGGTTTTAGTCGGTGCAAGTCAGAAGGGTATGCGTGGGCATTTCCCCATGTAAAACAAAGAAAAAAGGTTAGTAAGTGAGTTAACGCATACAATAACGCACTTTAAAATTCTGGCAGTGCACGAAGCATAAATTCCGATGATATTCGTGACTGGCCCAATTCATAATTGTTAATTTCTTAATGTTAAAATTTTCAAAATTTTTCTTTTTTGTTTTTAATGGATAAACTCTAAAACTACTTAATTGATTTTAAAATTCTTACGCCTATAAAAAGTTATATATCAGTGAGTAACATATGCTATATTTTATTTTAAAAAAAATTGGAAATTTCAATATTGTATGCCCAAGGTATCAAAAATTTCGCTATAAAATTGGCGTGCACTGCGAAAACTATTGGTGGTAGAATCACGTACTCATGTACTAAACGTATATAGATTTAACAATATATTTTTAAAAAGTCTGCGAGACAATATGTCCAACTCTTATTCTCGTAGTTCAGAGACAATAACAGATTTTGTGTTGTATTTAATGAATGAATACACTAGTACAAACGAAAGATGATTACATTTGCATCATGGTATTAACCCTTATCCAGATAAATAATTTCATAACCAAAGTTGTTTGTGTAGATTTAAATACCTCTTTAAATTATTCGAATCGGACCTTATGGTTTAGTAGCGTGTTTGAACACTCATTTCATTAAAAATCAACTTCAAAGAATCACCACATTCAATCACGATTTACATGGATATTGATGGATTTTTCTTTTGAAAATATCAGTCTTATATCTAAATTTGTTATATAGAACTCCGCTTTCTTTTAATGTTAGTTAAAAAGTGAAGTCAGTTAAGAAATAATACTCGTAAATGAACAACCTATAAATGCATAATAATTTTGGACTTTTGATTTGTTATAAGATATTATTATGATATATTCTTCCAAAAAAAGTTACATAATACAATTAAAGATATATATAATTGTATACATTTAAAACAGAGTAGATTAGACACTATACGTTAAGATAATACTTCAAAATAGTTTATGTCCGCCTTTTGTAGTAACAACATTGCTTCAAGTTTTACAGAACACTGTCAGAACTGCATTTATTTTATTAAAAAGTTTAAGCGCCATGCATACCTGCGTGAAAATAGGTAATAATGCAATGAAAAGCAGAAGCTTTTTGTGGACTTTTTAAGAAATGAACGTGGAATCGAACGAATCCATAGTAATGGTTTTTTATATCATTACCACTGATAAATATTCAATTATAAATACGATTAAAAGTATCGTTACATCGTTAATATTCTAAATATACCTACTTGTTAGATATATTTTAGTTTAGCTATTTTAGTTTCAATGGATTAAAATGGAATTCTAAAAAAGTTACTTAGAGTTAGCTAGATAAAATAAAGCTTCGGTTTGGGTGAGTTTGAGTTCATCGTGATTGTGTCGCACGCACTTAGTTTACGCAATGTTGATTTAAAGAAGGCGCAACAAAGCTTTTTACCGCAAGGTTAATAGTGACATTACACCAGATTACATCAAGCTAACGGCTCTTCCATGTATTATCTACGGTGTTAACAGCTCTCGTCAGGGAGTATTACATTCCTCGATTAACAGAGTGGTTTTCTGATATTATTGCTAGTACTTTTTCTAGTAAAATATATGTAAAGGTTTTTCTAGTAAATATATGAAAATCTATTTCATAACTCGAGGCTATTTTACTTAATACCTGGAGAGTCAATCAATTTTGTTCAATATAATGACAAGTGGTAAAATTAAAATGTTAGTATAACGGACTTCAATATAAATAATTGAATTAAAAAGTTTAGTTGGTAGGGATGGGGGGAGGGGTGGGGGACAAATGACTCTAATAAAAATACCACAAGATATTTCGCAAACGGACCCATGAATCGAAAAGATGATGTTCCACACCCCCAATGATTTTAAAAAATCTATCCAACGATACCCCACATGATGGAATCATCAGAAAAAAAAATACTCCATTTACTTGTATGAGAAGTACCCAAAATAAAAATGTTTTCTAAGATTTTATTTCAGTTTTCTAGGCGTTATTAATATCTATAACTATGCCAACTTACAAATTTGTAGCACCTAGGGTCTATGAGCAAAACGCGGACGGACAGACGACGAAACTATTAAAAAAAGATTCCGACGAATTGAGAACCTTCTCCTTCTTTGAAGTCGGTTGAAACGGCCATTCATTATATCTAGCTTGTGTATGTATATGTAAACTTTATAGGTTAATTACTTAAATAAATAGATGGCACGTTTGTGAAGCATTACAGACATAAATAAATATTTTACGATTTAATGATTTCCAGACATAAGAGTAACAAAAGTATTTTTTATTTTAATCAATACGCAGGTTAACAAATCCCGTGTAGTGAGTTCATATGTGAACCTAGTACAATATTGCATCCCGTGGGTTTTTTATAGGATAGGGTGACAAACGAGCACATAGTCCACCCGATGGTAAGTTATTGCTGTGACTCATAGACATCTAGATCTATCCTCAATAAAGTATCAAAATGCAGATGCGTTGTCACCCGTGAGGACTAATAATGGAATACCTCATTTCCAGTAAAAAGGGTCTCCGGTTCTCTACACTCACCATACGAAACACAGCAGTGTTAAGCTGCTCTTTTATGCTGGTATTCTGTGAGAGCGTGGTCCTTCCCCGGTCGAACCGACCCGTTCGTACTACAACTATACCACTAATATAGCTGCAGCATGGCTCTGCCACGTATAAAAACCATGCCGGTGCCGTAAGAGGCGTATATGGGAAATGTCAGTTAAATCTTAAGGTCCCTGATAAATTGCGATATCACCATCTAAGTAAGCCAGATGTAAATTATCCAAACTGGTAACAAGAAATGGCGTCAAAGGGCGACATATCTGGTACTGCGACCGACAATCCGCCCATCAAGCATGTCAATAATGGCTAATGCTGCCTACAGTAGGAGAGCCTATGTCCAGCAATGGACTGTTACGGGTTGAAGAATAAATAGATATCATTAAATAACAAGCATTCATGTTTACTTTTGGAAATCATTACATTAAAATCTAAATTTAACGGTTTTTCAGTTTAAATTAATACAAAAGTTGACAATTTATGAAGGCTTCATGAAGAGTTACATTATAATATTGATTTTCCGAATCGTATTCGCTTTGGGAACTGAAACTGACCTTGCTAACTTGAAGCAAATCC